TCCCAGCTACTCAGGAGGCTGTGTCAAGAGAATCGCTTGAACCCAGGAAGCAGAGGTTGCGGTGAGCTGAGATCATGCCACTGCACTCTAGCCTGGGCAACAGAGTGAGACTCTGTCTCAAAAATAAAGAAAAAAAATAAGTTAGCTGGACATGGTGGTGCATGCCTGTAGTTCCAGCTACTCGGGAAGCTGAGGCAGGACTGCTTGATCCCATGAGATGGAGGCTACAGTGAGCTATGATCACACCAATATACTCCAGCCTGAGTGACAGAGCAAGACACCATCTGAAGTAGAAATAAGTAGTGATTTTTTACCTACAAGGGTATTCTGTGGGCTATTTGGTGGAGAACCATCCTGCACATTGAAGGTTGGTAAGTATCCCTAGTCTTCCCCCAATACCAGCAGCATCCTCACCCCCACCTAGCATTGTCACAGCCAGAAGAAATGGCCCTAACAAACTTCCAGAAGTCCCCTATGGGCCATACCATCCCCACTGAGAACCACTGATCTAAATCAAATTTTGTAAACTTAGGTAAACTTGGTTTTAGGTAAAAACAATCTCTGCAATAAAACAATCTGATAAGGAAAGTCCTTACCTCTTTACAACGAATGGAGAGAAAGGCTAGAGAGAAATTCTGTCATGGAAACTAGAGTCTTGTCAAATTTACTTATGACACCTTTTCCTAAGTTAATTATATCAATTTACCTGTGGTTTACTAGGTCACTGTAGCAAGTTTATTAATGGCCTCCAAAGATACTAGGTCCTAATCCCTGGAACTTGTGAATGTTACTTTATGTGGCAGTCTCTGAAGATGTGATTGAATCAATGGCCCTTGCTAAGAAGAGATTATCCTGGATTACTCTGGTGGTGTTAAATGCAATCACATGTAATGCAATCCTTGTAAGAGGGAGGCAGAAGGCGATTTGACACAAATACACAGAGGAAAAGGCAATGGGAAGACAGAGCAGACTGAGTGGATGGTGCTGGCCTTGAAGATTGGAGTGAGATTCGGCCACAAGCCAAGGAATGCCAGCATCCACACAAAGATGGAAGAGGCCAGGAAGGGATGTTTCCCTATAGTTTCTGGAGGAAGCAAGCTCTTGTCCACACCTTGATTCCGGCCCAGTGATACTAAGTTTGTACTTCTGGCCTCCAGAACTGTGAGAATAAATTTTTGTTGTTTTAAGCCACAGTCTGTGGTACTTTGTTACAGCTGCCACTGTTACAAAGGAAACTGATTACAGGAAAATATGAGTTAGTAACAACACAGATAAAGACATTTTCACAGCTGACTTTCATTATTCCATTGCATATGTGTTCTTCTGTTAGAAAAGAGGTTTCCCTTTTTGGTCTCCTTCCTTCCAGCTTTCCACCCTATCATGTGAATGTGTGACGATGGGAGGCTTGGAGCTGTGGCAATCACCCTTGCCTCCAAAAGGGGAGAGGGGACATGAAGAGAAACACACAGTTCATGACAGTATCCTGATGTCGCCACACCACTGGACCTGCTCTGAATCCTCTAATCTCCAGACTGTTGATCTGGCGACATAATTAAATGTCTTAATTGCTTTGGCCACTATTAAGACTGTGTTACTTACTGCAGAATTCATCCTAATATAGAATTCCACAGACAATATCAAGACTGAAAATAAGAAATAATGACAGTCATGTTATTTAAAAATATGGAGGTATAGGCCTGGTGTGGTGGCTTACGCCTGTAATCCCAGCACTTTGGGAGGCCAAGGTGGGTGGTTCACAAGGTCAGGAGATCGAGACCAACCTGGCTAACACAGTGAAAACCCGTCTCTACTAAAAATACAAAAAATTAGCTGGGCATGGTGGCTTGCACCTTTAGACCCAGCTACTCGGGATGCTGACGCAGGAGAATCGTTTGAACCCAGGAGGTGGAGGTTGCAGTGAGCCGAGATCGCCCCATTGCACTCCAGCCTAGGCAACAAGAGCAAAACTCCATCTCAAAAAAAAAAAAAAAAAAATTGTTTTTTTTTTAGAGATGGAGTTCTTGCTATGTTGCCCAAGTTGGTCTCGAACTCCTGGCCTCAAGTAATCTTCCCATCTTGGACTCAAATTTTCCTTTTCATTGATTTGTTAATTTATTTTTGAGACAGGGTCTCACTCTGTCCCCCAGGCTGGAGTGCAGTGGCACAATCATGGCTCATTGCAACCTTGATCTCCTGGGATCAAGCAATCCTCCCATCTTGGCCTCCCAAACTGCTGGGATTAAAGACCTTTTTTTTTTTTTTTTAATTAGTTTTATTTTTTTAGAGACAAGGTCTTACTCTCTCAGGCAGGCTAGAGCACAGTGGCATGACCATGGCTCACTGCAGCTGCACACTCCTAGGCACAAGCAATCCTCCTGCCTCAGCCTCCTAAGTAGCTGGGACTATAAGCCTGCGCCACCACACTTGGCTAATTTTTAAATTATTATTATTATTATATGAGACAGAGTCTTGCTCTCTCGCCTAGGCTAGAGTGCAGTGGCGCGATCTCCGCTCACTGCAAGCTCTGCCTCCCGGGTTCACGCCATTCTCCTGCCTCAGCCTCCTGAGTAGCTTGGACTACAGGCACATGCCACCACACCCAGCTAATTTTTGTATTTTTAGTAGAGACGGGGTTTCACCATGTTAGCCAGGATGGTCTAGATCTCCTGACCTCGTGATCCGCCCACCTCGGCCTCCCAAAGTGCTGGAATTACAGGCGTGAGCCACTGCGCCTGGCCTTTTAAATTATTTTTTGTAAAGACAGGGTCTTGCTTTATTGGCTAGTCTGATTTCTAACTGGCTTCAAGCAGTCCTCCTGCCCTGGCTTCCCAAAATGCTGGGATTATAGGTGTGAGCCACTGTGCCTGACCAAAACGGGGCATCTTTGCCTGCAGTTCCACTTCTGCTTTGCAGATGAGGCTTCAAAATGTTTGAACAGTGTTCTGTGATTTAAAAATAAACTTTGAAAAACTACACAGCCAGAATTTCAGAAGAAAAGCTAATGAGGTTGATCTTTTTTTTTTTTTTTTTTTTTGAGATGGAGTCTTGCTCTGTCACCCATGCTGGAGTGCAGCGGTCTGATCTCAGCTCACTGCAACCTCTGCCTCCTGGGTTCAAGCAATTCTCCTGCCTCAGCCTCATGAGTAGCTGGGATTTCAGGCACTGTAATACCACTACCCCTAGCTAACTTTTGTATTTTTAGTAGAGATGGGGTTTCGCCATGTTGGCCAGGCTGGTCTCGAACTCCTGACCTTAAGTGATCAGCCCGCCTCAGCCTCCCAAAGTGCCGGGATTACAGACGTGAGCCACCGCACCCAGCCTGCAGTGAGTCTTGATTGTGCCACGGCACTCTAGCCTTGCCAACAGAGTTAAACTCTGTCTCAAAAAAAGGAAAAAAAAAAAAAAAGAGGTTAATAGAGTGGTGTCATGGTGAACTATTTAGGCTTAAAAAGGTTAAAACCCAGGTACCATTCCAGAATGGAGGTGAGAGGATATGTCAGGGGTTAGCTGTGGGGAGAATCCAGGATGAGTTTCTGCAATGACCTGGAAGTGGGGAAAGACAGCCTGAGTTTGGGCTTAAAAGGGTTTGGCTCCCAGCAACCACAGGCAGCTGGAAAACAGCCAGCATAGGTTTGGCAAGAAAGAGCAGAGTCCAAGGCTTGGGGCTAGAGGTGGAACCCACAGCCTTGAAAGGGAAAACAGACAGGGACTGGGGAATGGGAGCAGAGCCAGGGGCTCTGCCTTGAAGCCGAGGACAACTAACTGTGAAACCACCCACCCAGTTCCAAGTAGGCAGTGTAGGGGCAAAGTCTGTAGTCTGCCAGCTTATCCTATCATAAAAGCAGCTTTGTCAAGGATGAGCAAGGCACCCCGTGGGGGTGGGGGTACAGGGACAGAATAGATGAGTAGGGAGGCTCTGAACCCAAGGCCCCACAAACTGTTCCCTTGTTAGCAGCTCATCCAACCATAGGAAAGGGGAGCTTTGCTAGGACTGCCTCCAAGGGTCGCACGCAGCCTCAGAATCACAGTTGCTGCTCCCTTTACTTTGTGTGACAGGCTCTGTGCCAAGCACTTCACTTATTATGTTAATTAATAGTCTTTACTTATGACTAAAGGAAATAAAGTCAGGTTTTGTTGTTGTTGTTGTTGTTTTTGAGATGGAGTCTTGCTCTGTTGCCCAGGCTGGAATGCAGTGGTGTGATCACGGTTCACTGCAGCCTCGACCTCCCAGGCTCAAGCAATCCTCCCACCTCAGCCTCCCAAGTAGCTGGGACCACAAGCATGCACCATCACACCCAGCTAATTAAAAAAACTTTTTGTAGAGACGGGGCCTTACTCTGTTGCCCCGGCTGGTCTCAAATTCCTGGGCTCAAGAGATCCTCCCACCTTGGCCTTCCGAAGTGCTGGGATTACAGGTGTGAGCTACCGTGCCCGGCCTCAAGCCAGATTATCTTAACAGGGGGATGCATTAGGAGGATTCAGGAGCATCTGTTCAATCCCAGGCAGGAGGCAGCTGGCCTCAGGAAAGGCTCAGAGAGGGGACTCCAGAGTGACTGGGATTCTCCAGCAACTCTTAGGTTCTCCCTGCTTCATTCTTCCTTCTTAGCTGACTGGCTTTTTCTGGTGCTCAGTCAATAAGGCAGGGAGAAGAGGGCCACCAAAACTTCCCATATTCCCAGGTTATGGGTCTAACCACAGGAAGAAACTAAAGCTGGATCTGCTGATTTCTCAGGGAAAGCATGGGCCACCACAGGTCAGATGTCCATTCTGATTCCAATCAGCCATAGTGAGGGGAGGGGACAGGCCACCAACAGAAATTTGACTGTGGTGGCTCTTCATTATGGCTCCAAGGAGGAAGATGGGGACTTCAGTGTGTGTGGGGGTTTGAATTCAGGTTTGTTTGGCTCCAATGCTAAGGGGTGGCCCTGATACAAAGGGAAGAAGCAGAGCTATGTTCACCAAGCCCATAAGGGGCACAGAGACAAGCACAAAACACCAAGTCCCAAATGAAAATAAAACTCATTTGCCAAGGGAACACCGCAGCAGCTCCTGCCCTGTACTGAGCTCTCCAAAGACTGGGCAGGCAAGGTCCCTCTGGCCCCCTCTGGAAGAGGAAAGTGCTCGCCCTGGAGGACAGCAACAGAGCCAAGGTGAGGTCCTGCTCAAAGGTGGGCAGGGGGCTGGACTGACTCCTTTCGGCCCTTGCCAGCGATGGGCCGGCCTCGCTCCTCCCAGATGGTGAGGCCATCGCAAGAGCAGATCTGCTTGGGGTTCTGGAAGAGGCCAGCAGAGCGTGCGATGATGCCGCAGGCCAACCTGCAGAAGAATGTGTGGTCAGGGTGGGTTCTTGTTTAGGTCCCCACCCCTGGGTTCCTCACGCACCATCCGCAGAGCACAGCCTCCTGCAGGGGCCGACACCACTCACCTCTGCCCAGAGTTCCCTGTGATCTTGGATAAGGGATGGCCTCCCCGGCCTAGGTCATCTTCTCCCTCATCAATAACCAGGCTGCGGCCAATCACATCCCACACCTTTGAGGAGAGACGACAGCCTCAGACGATGGACCCTGTTAGGAAGGGTGCCCGCCTTCTTTTCCACCTTACCTTCAGCTTCTCATCCTCCATTCTGAAGATGGCGCAGCCGTCAGCATCAGCATGGACATTGCCCAGGTCTCCGCGGTGCTGGAATGAGACCCAGTGTGTGTAGAGGGGATGTGTGCCACATGGTGCCAATCTGCTATCTTCTGACTTTCTGATTCCGATGCCTCTTCCTGCTTCCCCAAAGTACCCATTTCCTCCTGTGGGTACCAGTCTGGTAGGATCTGAGCTCCCCAAGGACTGGGCAGGCAAGGTCCTCTTGGCCCTCTCTGAAAGTGGAAAGTGGTCCAGGAAGTCCTACACCATCTGAACACTCCCTCCCTGGAACTGAAATCCTGGGCAGGATGACAGTGGGCTGAAAAGAGCCGGTAGAAGTTTCCCCTGCCTGTGCAGTCATTCCTGTTAGACCAGACCGTTTTTCCAGTGAGGCCATCGCCCAGTGCTGCTTCTCAGCCTCCAGTTAGCCCAGTTTCGCAGCCTCCTGATGGCTTTGTGAGCCCTTGGCTGTCTTCAATTCCCATAGGCTTAAGTTGGCCAAGCTTGGCTTCCCTGACCATCATAGGCAGCCAATGTCATTTCCCTGACTCCCAGATTCCAGGAATAGAAGGAAACGCAAGGGGCAAAGAGCCTGTCCTAGCCCCTAGAAGCTGGCTCTGCCCTCCTTCTGCTTTGAAGGTAAGAAAAAATGCCATAACACACCCATGAGCACCTCCTAGGTCAGACACACTGTACCAGACATGGCGGGCAGTATGCAGGTCACCATCCTCCAGGGACTCAGAACATGGTGGGGACCCAGACACAGAACAGATTAGGGGTCATGACACACAGGGTGAATACAACAGTTCGTGTGTTTTGGGGTGACAAGGCCTTACTAGTGAGCCTCAGAAACCCACATCTGTGCAAATAAATTGTCCCCAATCTGACATTTTGGGCAGAAACAAGTGCCTGTGCCAGTGCAGGTAGGCTCCCATGACCTTGCTGCTGAGTAACCAGGCATCTCACTGTGCCACCAACTGATGGGCAGGAAGAAGCGCCAGTTCTGCTTTATCTCATTTTCCAGAGGGACATCTGCTGCCTGCACCTGGCACTTTTTGTTATGCCCTGCATTGGGGACTTAAATAGCAGAAAGATCAAGGAGGGGGAGGTGATACAGAGCCCTGAAGAGTGGTTTTGTTTTTTTTTTTTTTGCTTGTTTGTTTTTGTTTTGTTTTGATACGAAGTCTCACTGTGATGCCCAGGCTGGAATGCAACGGTGTGATCTTGGCTTATAGCAATCTGTGCTTCCCGGGTTCAAGCAATTCTCCTGCCTCAGCCTCCCGAGTAACTGGGATTACAGGCACGCACCACTAGGCCTGGCTAGTTTTTGTATGTCTTTTAATTAATTAATTTATTTTTTGAGACAGAGTCTGGCTTTGTTGTCCAGGCTGGAGTGCAGTGGTACGATCTGGGCTCACTGCAACCTTCCACCTCCCAGGTTCAAGTGATTCTCCTGTCTCAGCCTCCCGAGTACGTGGGACTACAGATGCACGCCACCATGCCTGGCTAACTTTTGTTTTGTTTTGTTTTTGTTCCTTTTTCTTTTGAGATGGAGTCTCACTCTGTCACCCAGGCTGGACTGCAGTGGCGTGACCTTGGCTCACTGCAAGCTCCGCCTCCCGGGTTCACGCCATTCTCCTGCCTCAGCCTCCCGAGTAGCTGGGACTACAGGCGCACGCCACCACGCCCAGCTAATTTTTTGTATTTTTGGTAGAGACAGGGTTTCACTGTGTTAGCCAGGATGGTCTCAATCTCGTGACCGCGTGATCTGCCCGCCTCAGCCTCCCAAAGTGCTGGGATTACAGGCGTAAGCCACCGCGCCAGGCTCAACTTTTGTATTTTTTTTTTTTTTTTTTTTGAGATGGAGTCTAGCTCTGTTGCCCAGGCTGGAGTGCAGTGGCCGGATCTCAGCTCACTGCAAGCTCCGCCTCCCGGGTTCACGCCATTCTCCTGCCTCAGCCTCCCGAGTAGTTGGGACTACAGGCGCCCGCCACCTCACCCAGCTAAGATTTTTTTTTTTTTTTGTATTTTTAGTAGAGACGGGGTTTCACCATGTTAGCCAGGATGGTCTCGATCTCCTGACCTCGTGATCCGCCCATCTCAGCCTCCCAAAATGCTGGGATTACAGGCTTGAGTCACCACACCCGGCCAACTTTTGTATTTTTAATAGAGACAGAGTTTCACCATGTTGGTCAGGCTGGTCTCAACCTCCTGACCTCAAGTAACCCATCCGCCTCAGCCTCCCAAAGTGCTGGGATTGCAGGCGTGAGCCACCGTGCCCGGCTTGAGGAGCAGCCTCAAGGCAGAGGGCAGCCTGGACAGCGTGGCTGGAAGCATGACCCAGCAGGAGTTCAGGGAAAGGCAGTCTTTCCAGGCTGTTTCCTCAGCACACAGGCAGGGGCAACAGGCCGGGGGAGTGGGGCATTGAATGTCCACACCAAGAAGTTAGGCCCAGCTTGTACTCTCAGGCACTGGGAGCCAAGACAAGTTTCAGGCAGGGGCATGGCCTGGTTACTCCAGGCTTCAGAACAATCCTTCTAGTGCAGTCTATGAAAAGTAAGGACTGGAGCAGGTAAGGAGAGAACAGAAGGGAGCCTAGAGATCAGTTAGGAGATGTGCAAGGGACAACCAGGCTTGGATGCAAATTCCTACATGAAATTCTTTTCCATCTGGGAAAAGCACATGCTAAAACCCAACAGCAACTTGCCAGTCACTGTGGCCTTGGCTGCTCAGCTCCTGCTCAGTTCTTCCTTGTCTAAGTTAAGGGGTTGAGTGAGGTATAGCTTCTGATGCCAGCTCCTTCTGATTCCCTGCCCCACCTGGGGCCCAGGAAGAAAACACAGGTCACAAGGCAGTCTCCTGCCCTTCAGAAACACTCCCTGCTATTCCATGCCTCCAGGGCTTTGCAACTCCCTTGAGCGTGGGCTGGACCTAGTGTCACTTCTAAGATTAGGTTACAAAAGAATGTGGCTTGAGTCTTGGATGCCCTCTCCCAATCTCAGTCTCTCTCTTGCTCATTCACTCTGAGGGAAGCCAACTGCCGTGTTGTGAGCTGCCCTAGGGAGAGACCCACGTGGCAAAGAACTGATGTCTCTGGCCAACAGCCAGAGGACCTGGGGCCTGCCAACAGCAACATGAGCAAACCTGGAAGCAGATTCTCCCCACATGGGGCCCTAAGATGACTGCAGCCCCGAGAGAGACCCTGAGCTGCAGGCACCCAGCTAAGTCACACACAAATTCCTGCCCCAGAGACAGTATATGTTTGTTGTTTTAAACTCCTAACTTTGGAGTCATTTGATTTGCAGCAGCAGCAGATTACTAATCACTGAGCATAAGCATGGCACTGTGCAATGGACTCTACAGAAATGCCTCTCCAATTTCCCAGAACAGGGAGTAAAAACTTTTGACCATTAGAAATGTGACAGAGTGGTCGGGCACGGTGGTTCACGCCTGCAACCCTAGCACTTTGGGAGGCCAAGGCAGGCGGATTACTTGAGGTTGGGAGTTCAAGTCCAGCCTGGCCAACATGGCAAAACCTCATTTCTACTAAAAATACAAAAAAGAAAAAGAAAAAAAAAAGAAATGTGACAGAGGCCAGGCACGCTAGCTCATGCTCGTAATCCTAACACGGGGAGGCTGAGGAGGGAGGACTGCTTGAGCCCAGCAGTTTGAGACCAGCCTGAGGAATATAGTAACACCCTATTTTTTTTGGTTGGTTTTTTTTTTTTTTTTTTGAGATGGAGTCTTGCTCTGTCACCTAGGCTGGAGTGCAGTGGCACGATCTCAGCTCACTGCAAGCTCCGCCTCCCAGGTTCATGCCATTCTCCTGCCTCAGCCTCCCGAGCAGCTGGGACTACAGGCGCCCACCACTACACCTGGCTAATTTTTTGTATTTTTTAGTAGAGACAGGGTTTCACTGAGTAATACCCTATTTCTACAAAAAAAAAAAATTAACTGGGTATGGTGGTACATGCTTGTGGTCCCAGCTGTCAGGTGAAGTGGGAGGATTGCTTAAGCCCACGAGTTCAAGGCTGTAGTGAGCCATGATCGCACCACTGCACTCCAGCATGGGCAACAGAGTGAGATCCTATCTCAAAAAAGAAAAGAAAGAAAAGAAAAAAAAAAGGAAAGAAAGAAGGAAAAGGAAAATAAACAGAAGAAAAGAAAAGCATGATAGGTAACAGAGCTGTGAAAAGTCCAAAAATCAGTTACATGCATTAAGAAACACATACCATGGTTTCATTTGCTTTATGGCACAAGGTTGCAAACCCATCAGGATAGAAAACGGCACAGTCAGAGCCAGGTACAGTGGCTCACACCTGTAATTCCAGCACTTTGGGAGGCTGAGGTGGGTGGATCACTTGAGGTCAGGAGTTTGAGACTGCCTGACCAACCTGGTGAAACCCCATCTCTACTAAAAATACAAAAATTAGCCAGGTGTGGTGGTGTGTACCTATAGTACCAGCTACTAGGGAGGCTGAGGCAGGAGAATTGTTTGAACTTGGGAGGCGGAGGTTGCAGTGAGCTGGGACCACGTCATTACACTCTAGCCTGGGCAATAAGAACAAAACTCTGTCTCAAAAAATAAAATAAAAAAATCAAATGATTGAGTAACTAACAATACAACTAGTACTCAGATAAGGCAAAAAATCATTAAGGCAACACGCAATTCCCTGAAGATTGGGAAATGATTCTCTGCTGAAAAATGAAACTCCAGGACCAGGGGTGTTAGGGAGCGCCAGGGACAGCCTTTTCAGTTTAGGTAAAACCCTCAACTTCCATATTTCACTTCCTCCCACTGCCCCTGCCCCTCAGGCAGATGAATTATTCACTCTGGGCTCCAGGGCCCCTTGCAGGCTCCTGTAAGGATTATCTCACTGCCTGGAAACCATGGAATTCAGTGACCTCCCCCAGAGACTGTGAGCTCCTTGGGTCAGGCACTGGGGCTGTAATCTATTGTATCCCCTGGTCTTTGATCACAGAAAGTGTCAACAAATGTTTCCAAACTCAGCAAAACAAAGTGAGAGGAAAAGACTCCACTAAAAAGGAATCACACTGTTAAGATCCCAAGAGTTGCCTGCCCTGCCTCTGAGACTTTAGGTCCTCTCTCAGCTCAAGCCCAAAACCAGACAGACACTTACCCGGTCAGAGTCCTGGGGGCCCCCATGAGATGCTCCATCAGGGTTAAAGTGGTCCCCACAGCTAGGAAAGAAAGGAAACAGGTGGGCAGGAAAGCAGCTCACAGAGCAGGTGCTCTACCCTCTCACTTATCTATATTTGCTTCATTCATTCATTCATTCATTCAACAAACAGGCCTGCTCGGTGCTGGGCTTTGGGTAGAGGGCACCGAGAAGAATCAGACATGGGTCCTGTCCTCAATGAGCTTCTGGCTCAGGGGAGTCACAGATCAGTAAACAACTAGTTATATCACAGCATAACTAACACCATGGCATGGGGACCCTTCCTTTCCTGTGTCCAGAAGTCCCCTTCCATCTCAGAGGCAGTAAGGTGGTTACAAGCAGGACCTGCAACATCAAATTTTTTTTTTTCTTGAGACAGTGTTTTGCCCTGTCGCCCGTGAGCTGGAGAGCAGTGGTGCAATCTCAGCTCACCACAACCTCCACCTACTGAGTTCAAGTGATTCTCCTGCCTCAGCCTCCCCGTAGCTGGGATTACAGGCATGTGCCACTGCGCTCGGCTAATTTTTTTTGTATTTTTAGTAGAGATGGGGTTTCACCATGTTGGCCAGGCTGGTCTTGAACTCCTGACCTCAGGTGATCCACCCACCTCGGCCTCCCAAAGTGCTAGGATTACAGGTGTGAGCTACTGTGCCCAGCCAAAGTCAGATCTTGACTCAAATCCCAACTCTACCTTTTACCTGCTCTGGACCTTTGGCAAGTCATTTAACCTCCGTGAGCCTCAGTTTCCTCATCTGGAGGTTGTGCCTGTGTGTATGTGCCTCATAGAGTATTGGTGAGGGGCAAGTGTGAAAATGTGTAGCTGAGGATGCTACTGGGGAGACTTCGGACAACTCACCTGTTGCAGTTGTTTGTGAGGTCCCCATACTGATGGACATGGAGTCCATGCAGCCCAGGCTCCAGGCCGTCAATAGTTCCTTCGATGAGGCAGCGCTCAGGGCTCAGCTGTAAGAAGCGCACCACCCCCTGCACGGTGCCAGGCCCTCCCAGGATGGCCACTGCTGCCCCCAGATTCTCTGCAAGGTATTGGATACTTGGGTTGGCTTGCCACCTCACCCAGCACACCTCTTCAGCAGCTCGGCAAGGGAAGGGAGTCTCTCATAATTTTCACACCTTCCTCAAAGCCACGCCAACCCAGAGCCCGAGAATCCTATGGTTAGATTTACACCAGCTCTGAGCCACCTCCCTCCCAGAGGGGCCAAGGCCATAGTGGTCACTCACGCAACTGGTCGCTGCCCATGCCCTTGAGTACTGCCTGCCGCCCCGTGCCTTCCAGGAGAGCCTGCACCTCCTGGCTAGGCAGAGTGGTGTGTACCAAGACCATCTGATTCTCCAAGTGCACCTCCACATCCTGGACACCTGGCAAGAGAGAGAGGGAAGAGGGCAACAGAGGCTGGCACCCAGTGCTGGCAGCAGGAAACAGAGAAACAGACAGCAATTCTCCATCCCCATTCCCACCAAACTTCCCATGGCCAGAGGCAAGCTACCTTGTAACTGTGTAACCCTGAGTAAGCCTCCTCACTTCTGCGTCTGTTTCTTTTCATACAAATTGGGATCATGCCACCTTGCCCCCAGGATTAATGTGAGTCCTAATACTCGCCAGGCATTATTTATAACTTTGGAAACATACATAATTCTTTTTAAAGCCGTATTTTTTTCTTTTTTAAAGTGGGCTATCCATAGCAGCATTATTCACAATAGCCAAAAGATAAAAATAACCCAAATGTCCATCAACTAAGGAACAGATAAAATGTAGTATCCATACAATGAAATACTATTCAGGAACGAAGTGCTGATGCATGCTACAACATGGACGGACCTTGAAACATTATGCTACGTGAAAGCCAGTCACAAAGCCACATATATAATGCCATGTACCTGAGATGTCTAGAACAGGCAAATCCACAGAGACAGAAAATATCCTTCCCATAGGAGATAGCTTAAATTTTTTTTTTTGTTTTTTAGACAGAGTCTCACTCTGTTGCTCAGACTGGAGTGCAGTGGCAGGATCTTGGCTCACTGCAACCTTCACCTGTCAGATTCAAGCTATTCTCTTGTCTCAGCCTCCCAAGTAGCTGGGATTACAAGCATGCACCACCATGTCCGGCTAATTATTGTATTTTTAATAGAGATGGGGTTTCACCATGTTGGCCAGGATAGTCTCTAACCCCTGGCCTCAGGTGATCCACCCACCTCGGCCTCCCAAAGTGCTAGGATTACAGTCATGAGCCACCATGCCAATGCACTCCAGCCTGGGTGACAGAGCAAGACTCCATCACGGAAAAACAACGACAACAAAAAAAAGAGAACAAAATAGGCCGGGTGTGGTGGCTCACGCCTGTAATCCCAGCAGTTTGGGAGGGCGAGGTCTGTGGATCACCTGAGGTCAGGAGTTTGAGACCAACCTGGCCAACATGGTGAAACCCTGTCTCTACCAAAAATATAAAAATTTGCCAGACATGGGGGTGCGCACCTGTAGTCCCAGCTACTTGGGAGGCTGGGGCACAAAAATTGCTTGAACCCAGGAGGCGGAGGTTGCAGTAAGCCGAGATTGCACCACTGCACTCCAGCCTGGGTGAAAAAGTGAGACTCTGTCTCTGAAATAAAATAAAATAAAATAAAAGGAAATCCTATATCCCTTAGCTATCACCCTCCTATTCTGCCACCCACCCCTGCCACCAATCTATTTTCTGTCTCTATTTTTTATTTTATTTTTTAAATTTTTTTGAGATGGAGTCTCGCTCTGTCACCTAGGCTGGAGTGCAGTGGCACAATCTCAGCTCACTGAAACCTCCACCTCCCTGGTTTAAGTGATTCTCCTGCCTCAGCCTCTGGAGTAGCTGGTACCACAGGCACACACCACCACCACGTTCGGCTAATTTTTTTGTATTTTTTTCTTTTAATAGACACGGGGTTTCACTATGTTGGCCAGGCAGCTCTCGAACTCCTAACCTCAGGTCATCTGCCTGCCTCAGTCTCCCAAAGTACGGAGATTACAGGGCATGAGCCATCAGGCCTGGCTCCGGCCTAGGATTTCTTTATGAAGTGATTAAAATATAAAACTGACAGTGGAGAGATGGTTGCACAACTCTGAAAATACTACAAACAGATGAAGTGTATCCTTTAAATGGGTAATTTTTTTTTTTTTTTTGAGACAGAGTCTCGCTCTGTCGCCCAGGCTGGAGCGTAATGGCACAATCTCGGCTCACTGCAATCTCCACCTCCTGGGTTCAGGCAATTCTTCTGTCTCAGCCTCCAAAATAGCTGGCACTACAGACATGCGCCACCACACCCGGCTAATTTTTTGTATTTTTAGTAGAGACGAGGTTTCACCATGTTGCCCAGAGGCTGGTCCCGAACTCCTGAGCACAAGTGATCCACCCGCCTTGGCCTCCCAAATTGTTGGGACTACAGGTGTGAGCCACTGCGCCTGGCCTATATGGGTGATTTTTATAATACATGAATGATATATTTTTTTATTTTTGAGATGGAGCTTTGCTTTGTCACCTAGGCTGGAGCACAGTGGCACGATCTTGGCTCACTGCAACCTCTGCCTCCTGGGTTCAAGCAATTCTCCTGCCTTAGCTTCCCATGTAGGTAGGACTACTGACATGCGCCCCCATGTCTGACTAATTTTTTTGAATATTTTTAGTAGAGACAGGGTTTCACCATGTTGACCAGGCAGGTCTTGAAGTCAGTTGTCTGCCGGGTGTGCTGGCTCACACCTATAATCCCAGCACTTTGGGAAGTTGAGGCAGGTGGATCACATGAGGCCAGGAGTTCGATACCAGCCTTGCCAACATGGCAAAACAACATCTTTAGTAAAAGTACAAAAATTAGGCAGGCATGGTGGTGCACACCTGTAATCCGAACTACTCGGGAAGCTGAGGTGGGAGAATCGAATGAACCGTGAAGTGGAGGCTGCAGGGAGCTGAGACAGTGCCACTGCACTCCAGCCCAGGCAACAGAGCAGAACAAGACCCTGTCTCAAAAAAAAAAAAAAAAAAAAAAAAAATATATATATATATATATCACTGGCTTTTATGTGCAAAAGCTATTAGAGGGGGAAACAGAAGCAATGGGGAACCCATCAAAGGATGAGGTTCTTACACAGGCTAGGGAAAGATGGGGTGGCCTGCAGCAGTGTGGAGGCCTAAGTATGTTTTGGACACACAGCGATAAGATGTCCTGATGACAGGCTTCGGCATAGGAGAGTTCCCAGACCCTGGGGTCTCCAGAGAAGAGCTGATTCTCTGCTCCTGAAGTGGGAAGCTCCTTGTCACTATGCACCTCCTGAATTCTTGACTGAGTCTGAACCAAGAGGGAGGCTGGTTCCTTAGCTAAGCAGCCATTCAGTTTGCTCCTTAAGACTGGCAGACCTTGGAATGTGGCCAGGCCCACCCTTGGTTGGCTCAGAGCCCAATGAGGGAGAAAACAGAAGGCCACAGAGAACACCAGGGCAAGTGATAGAGATTCTAGGGGGTGAGCCTTGGGCTGGGTGCTCCTCTCGCTTATCTCCTGAGAAGGCCTTCCCCCAGGCCTCCTGAGATGGCAACTCTCTTTCTCTGTGTGTGTGCATTCTAGAAAACTACAACTTCCTTGCTGGGCCCCATGAGAAAGCCAAGCCAGACCAGAAAACACAGAGTCACCAGAAGTCTTTATCTGGTGTCTAAGAAACACGCTGAGGGCTGAAAACTGAGCCGGGTCCAAGAGAAAGGCCAACTGCCTGCTCTCCTGCCAAGCAAGTTGTACAGGAAGTGGAGGGCTCACTCACCACCCCAAAACACATAGTCTAAGCAAACCCAGCTTCAACATTGCCCCTCCAGCCTCCTTCCATACAGATCACCACCTGTAAGCTCTTCCTCTCATAATCCCCTAGGATTTACTGGGCTGTTACTACATGCCAAAGACTTATTCTAAGTGCTTTTTTTGTATTAACTCGGTTACTCTTCAAGACAATCCTCCAGAGTAGCTTCTATTATCATCCCCCATTTAACATGGAAGAAACAGAAACACGAAAAGTAACACACATGAAGTCTTAGTGCCATTAAGTGGCAAAGAGGGGGTTTGAACTCTAGAGCTCACACCCCTAACCACTTTACAAAGTCCACCACTACCAGGGTCCCAGGTTCAGAAGCCATCTCATCTCATTCCCTCTCAGGATTGCTCTTCCCATGAAGCATTCTGTGAATGCCATCCAGGCAACGCTTGCATGCTTATTTCCACCTGAGTGTAGGGGATGTGCCTGATACCCGTGTGAACTCTTCTCCCTAAAAAACCCCAGTGTCTGGTCCATACCTGCCAAATGACTTTTTCTTTTTTTGAGACAGGGTCTCACTCTGTCACCCAGCCTGGAGTGCACTGGCGCAATCCAACTCACTGCAGCCTCCACCTCCTGGGCTCAAGTGATCCTCCTGCCTCGGCCTCCCCAGTAGCTGGGACTACAGGTGCGCACCATGACGCCCAGCTAATTTTTGTATTTTTTATAGAGAAGAGTTTTCACCATGTTGCTCAGGCTGGTCTCAAACTCCTGGACTTGAGCAATCCACCCACTTCGGCGTACCAAAGTGTTGGGATTACAGGCATGAGCCACTGAGCCTGGCCTGGATGAACACTTAACAGAATCAAAGGAAGCCAGTTCCCAGAGCCATGCTGGTGGCTCTACCTTTCCAGATCTTTCTAATCGTGCCAGGTCACCTACAGACCAGCTGGCCTTTTAAGAACCAGAAGCTACTCAGGATGGTATAGGGCCAGCACTGCTGTTTGCTTTGTCAAGATTATGTTGTTTCCCAAGCAAAAACTGCCTGTTTTCCAAGGAACTCCTTCAGCCTAGCTCCTCAGTCTCTGGGGCACGTGAGGTTCAGGACAGTAAGACAGGCAGTTAGAACCTGTCAGGGCAAGCTGGACAGCTGTACTCTAGACTCTGCCTCCAGGTCTGTGTGTAACTCTGAGAACATTCCTTCCACTCTCTGGGGTTCAGTTTCTGCATCTGTAAAATGGGAGTAGGGTTCGTCTAATAGATTTGCCTGGTCCCTCCTAGAGGCCTCTGGACTGTCCGCAGAAAAGTTTACCCTGTTCTTACCTGCCACCCCTTGCAGGGACTTGCGCACCGCGTCCACACAGCTCTGACAGGTCATCTGCACCGCGAACTCCAACTGCAAGGGCGGCAGGGACCGACCGATGATCGCTGGGGAAGTGCGTTGGTATGACTTTGTTTCACCACCTACCTACCCTATGACCACTCCAAGGGTCTGGGAACAAGCCCCCACGTAACCCCTCTTCAAGTACCTTCTTTATGACTCTCATGACCATTCCAGGGCCATGGGAGTCACCCCCTCAACACTCACGCAGGGCCCCTGCTACCCTCGCATGCTAGTTTCATCCCGTGGCCCCAGGCCCCAACCCAAGTGCTCACTCCTTCCCCTCTTAGACCCAAGGTAACGATCACCCCAGGGGCCGAGGCTCTCTGCCCAGCGAGGCTCCACACGAAGCCTCAACCCTCACCGTGCAGAGGGTCCCCTGGTTCCCCGAGTCCGAAGCCATTCTGGACCCAGTCACCAGCCCGAAACGCAGAACTCTTCAGGCGCAGGAGCACCAACCAGCCGGCGTCGCGGGGACTGAGCCTCGAAAGACACCCTTAACTCCGCCTCCTAGTGCGTGCGCACGCAAGGCCCTGCCCCGTCAGCCGCCGGGTGGCGGCCGCGCAGGCGCACTCGGGCCCTCGGGCTCCTGGTTGCCTTAGTAACCACTCCGTTTTCTGTTAGCCGACGGTGGCAGCCGCAGGCTGTAAGATGGAGCCTCCGAAGCACGAGCCTGAGCTCCAGCGGTTTTACCACCGGTTGCTGCGTCCGCTGTCGCTCTTCCCCACTAGGGCGACGTCCCCAGAGCCTCAGAAGCGCCCCACGCAGGAGGGCCGGATTCTACAGTCCTTCCCTCTCGCGAAGCTGACGGTGGCGTCTCTATGCAACCAGGTGGCCAAGCTGCTTTCCAGCAGTGGGATGGCAGCGCGAGTGCCTCCTGAGGCTCGACTACGTCTCATCAAGGTCATCCTGGACGAGCTGAAGTGCAATTGGCGGGAGCCGCCCGCCGAACTTAGTCTGAGCCACAAAAACAACCACAAGCTCCGGAAGCGGCTCGAGGCCTACGTGCTGCTGAGCAGTGAGCAGCTCTTCTTGCGCTACTTGCACCTGTTGGTGACCATGTCGACCCCCAGAGGGGTCTTCACTGAATCAGCCACGCTCACCCGGTTGGCCGCCAGCCTTGCCAGGGACTGCACACTCTTCCTCACTAGTCCCGATGTCTACCGTGGCCTGCTCACCGACTTCCAGGCCCTGCTGAGGGCAGAGCAGGCCTCTGGAGGTGTGGACAAGCTGCGCCCTGTCTGCCCCTCTGGGACATTCAAGTTGTGCCCTATCCCCTGGCCTCACAGCACTGGCTTCGCCCAAGTGCAGTGCTCTAACCTCAACCTGAACTACCTCATCCAACTCAGCCGTCCACCAGAGTTTCTCAATGAGCCAGGAAAGATAGATCCAGTGAAGGAATTGAAGTCCATCCCTCGGTTGAAGAGGAAAAAGCCTCTCCACTGGCCACCCTCCACAGGAAAGAAGAGAGAAATCGACATCAGTTCCTCACAGATGGTGTCGCTGCGCAGCTATCCTGTGGCCCCCACCAGCAGGGCTTCCCCCTTGCCTTTCTACTCTGAGCTCCGGAGAGGCCAATCCATGCCCTCCCTGCGTGAGGGCTGGAGGCTGGTAGATGAGTTGGGCCTTCCTCCACTCCCATCTCGCCCCTTAACCCCGCTGGTCTTGGCTACAGAGAGCAAACCAGAGCTGACTGGGCACATCGTGGCTGAGGATCTGAAGCAGTTGATAAAGAAGATGAAGTTGGAGGGGACTCGCTACCCACCACTGGACTCAGGCCTGCCTCCTCTCCTTGGGGTTGTGACCCGTCACCCAGCTGCAGGGCATCGCCTGGAGGAGCTGGAGAAGATGTTGAGGAACCTCCAGGAGGAAGAAACCTCTGGGCAGTGGGACCTCCAGCCCCCCAAATCCTTTCCACTTCACCCACAACCAGTGACCATTACTTTGAAGCTTAGAAATGAGGTCGTGGTCCAGGCGGCTGCCGTACGGGTCTCTGATAGAAACTTCTTAGACTCTTTCCACATTGAGGGGGCCGGAGCCCTGTATAACCATCTGGCTGGTGAACTGGATCCCAAAGCCATTGAAAAAATGGATATTGATAACTTTGTTGGCAGTACTACAAGGGAGGTCTACAAGGAGTTGATGAGCCATGTCTCTTCTGACCACTTACATTTCGATCAAGGGCCCCTAGTTGAGCCTGCAGCAGATAAAGACTGGTCGACCTTCCTGTCCTCAGCCTTTCTACGTCAAGAAAAACAATCTCAAATCATCAACCCTGAGCTGGTTGTACTTTACTCCCAGAGAGCAAACACTTTACAGTCCAATACTGAGATGATGCCCTCCCTCCCATCACCCCAGGCTACCAAAAGCTGGGAGAAGTGGTCAAACAAGGCCTCCTTGATGAACTCGTGGAAAACCACCTTGTCTGTGGATGACTACTTCAAGTACCTCACCAACCATGAAACAGATTTCCTTCATGTCATCTTTCAAATGCATGAAGAAGAGGTTCCTGTGGAGATTGTGGCTCCTGTCAGAGAGTCCCTAGAGATTCAGCACCCTCCCCCATTGCTAGAAGATGAAGAACCAGACTTTGTGCCAGGAGAGTGGGATTGGAACACTGTGCTAGAGCACAGGCTAGGAGCTGGGAAGACCACCCACCTGGGAGAATCTCACAAAATCCTGAGCCTGCAGAAGCGTCTGGAACAACTGTGGTCTGTGCTTGAGGTCCCCGACAAGGACCAGGTGGACATGGTCATTAAATACAGTTCCAAAGCCCGCCTGAGACAGCTGCCTTCATTGGTGAATGCCTGGGAGCGAGCCCTGAAGCCCATCCGGCTGCGGGAGGCGTTGCTGGCGAGACTAGAGTGGTTTGAGGGACAAGCTTCCAACCCCAACCGCTTCTTCAAAAAGACCAACTTGAGCTCCAGTCACTTCCTGGAGGAGGATCAGATCCGAAGCCATCTCCACAGGAAGCTCAACTTAATGGAGTCTTCTTTGGCTTCTCTCCTGGAGGAGATTGAGTTAATCTTTGGCGAGCCAGTGTTCTTCAAGGGGCGGCGCTACCTGGACAAGATGAAGAGTGACAAAGTGGAGATGCTCTATTGGCTGCAACAGCAGCGGCGGGTTCACCACCTGGTCTCGGCCCTGAAGGATCCCCATCAGTCAGCCAGCCTTTAGTAGCTCCTGGGAATACCCCTATTATGCCTTGACCAGGCCTAGTGCCCTCAAATGCCTCCCTCACCCCCAAATGGCCAGCAGCTCATCTAGACCTCTTTACTGCTTTGGAAGAAGAAATATTTGTCTATATCTGGGAGCAGAGGGGGTTCAGGAATATTATGCTTCCAACTATGAAGGGATTGAGACTAAAACTATTGTTTTCTTAGTGAAATTCTCATAAAAGTATCCCCAAGCCTAGTAGTCCCATTATGTCAAGCCTTGCACAATACAACCCAAATCTCCTAGCTCAAAAGAACTGAGACCTTGGAGTTCATTGTAGTGGGAAAGGTCAGACAGAGGCAAAGTTGATCTTTGGAACAACTCACTTTAGCATTCCTATCACACTACATTAAATTGTCACCTCTTTTAGTTCTCAAACACTATTAGGAAGACTAAAATTAATTAAATTTTTACCAATTACATGCACATGGTACAAAATATACCAGGATGTGTACTGAAAAGTAAGCCTTCCCATACCCACCTCCAATATCTCAGTTTCCTGCCGTGGGGACAAGTGTTAACAATTTTTTAATTTTTTAATTTTTTTTTTTTTTTTGAGAAGAGTGTCACTCTGTTGCCCAGGCTGGAGTGCAGTGGTATGATCTTGGCTCACTGCAACCTCTGCCTCCCTGGTTCAAGCGATTCTCCTGCCTCAGCCTCCTGAGTAGCTGGGACTACAGCCACCTGCCACCACACCTGGCTCTTTTTTGTATTTTTAGTAGAGAGGGGGTTTCACCATGTTGGCCAGGCTGGTCTCAAACTCCTGAGCTCAGGCGATCCACCTGCTTCAGCCTCCCAAAGTGCTGGGATTACAGGAGTGAGCCACAGCACCTGGATTTTTTTTTTTTTTATTTTATTTTAGAGATGGGGTCTTGCTCTGTTGCCCAAGCTGGAGTGCAGTGGCCTGATCATAGCTCACTGCAGCTTGAACTCTTGGGCTCAAGCAATCCTCCTGCCTCAGCCTCCTGAGTAGCTGGGACTACAGCTGCTTACCACCGCACCTGGCTAATTTTTTGAGTTTCTTTAAAAATATGTAGATATTTTTGAGCTAGGGTCTTGCTCTGTTGCCCAGGCTGGAGTGCAACCTTGGGTGGGAGTTTTCATTTCCTTTTCATTCATTCATTCATCCATCATATATTTGATGTACATTGTCTGTGGGTGTGGCACTGTGCTAGGCACTGAAGAAGAAGCAATCAGGAAATTAGGAGTAGATTCAGACAGAGCCAATAAACACACACAGTGGAAATAATGGGGAAAAGAGGCATGGGGAGGCCTGTGGATCACCCATGACCTGCACCCTCAGAGACATTCCCTTCCTCCCATGAGATTCTCGGCTAAGTATAGATTCTACCTGAGCCTACCCAAGTCCTGTGATCTGGGCTTTGTGTTTCTCACCTCATTATAGTTTTATCCTATACCTACAAGACATCATGATGCTCACTTTACAGGTGAGAAATGCTCAGAGAAGCAGGGTAATTTACTCAAAATCTTTTAGAGACCAGGTCCCTTTCTGTCATCCAGGCTGGAGTGCAGTGGTGCAATCATGACTCTCTCTAGCCTGGAACTCTTAAGCTCAAGCCATCCTCCCACTTTAGCCTCCCAAAGTGCTGAGATTACAGGTGTGAGCCACCACATCTGTCCTGCTCAGGTCTTACAGTTAATAAGTGGTAGATCAAAATGTAAGACTTGTGCTTCTGTGGACACCATCAAGCAAGTGAAAGACACAGAATGGAAGAAAATATCTGTGATCATAAACTTGATAAGCGAGATCATATCTAGAATATATAAATCTTAACAATTAAGAAAGGCAAATAGGCCAGGCGCGGTGGCTCAAGCCTGTAATCCCAGCACTTTGGGAGGCCGAGACGGGCGGATCACGAGGTCAGGAGATCGAGACCATCCTGGCTAACACGGTGAAACCCCGTCTCTACTAAAAAAATACAAAAAACTAGCCGGGCGAGGTGGCGGTGCCTGTAGTCCCAGCTACTCGGGAGGCTGAGACAGGAGAATGGCAGGAACCCGGGGGCGGAGCTTGCAGTGAGCTGAGATCCGGCCACTGCACTCCAGCCTGGGCCACAGAGACAGACTCTGTCTCCAAAAAAAAAAAAAAAAAAAAAAAAAAAGAAAGGCAAATAACTCAATTTTTACATTGGTGAAGGATGTGAATAGACGTTTCTCCAAAGAAGATATACAAATGGCCAATAAACACATAAAAAGATGCTCAATATCGTATTTACTAAAGGCATGCAAATCAAAACCACAGTAAGATACCACTGCACACACACTAGGA